GAAATTTGTACTATTGAATCATTTACTATATATACGATAAAAATATCATTTGACAAAACATATCATGTATTTATTTATGAATTTGATATAAATATAGAATATGAATAAGTTTTTTTTTCTATATTTGCATGTGGTTTGTTAGATTACAATATTCAAGTTGTCTTCACTTTTTGGTCTTCAACTAGATGGTCATTGTCCTTTTGAGGGGTCAAAGAATATTTTTGGTTTAAATCTTGATGACCCTTTTTAGTCTCTACCAAGATAATGTTTTGGACTTCTAGTTAAGATTTGAATCTTCAAAGTTCAAATTGACTACCTAACCTTGGACTTTTTGCAATTTTCTAATCATTTTCTTGGACATATATAGTTTTTAGTATTGGAAAGAAAATTAAAGAAGGATTTGAATGAGATTCAAGGAAATATGGAATTACCTAGACAGCCTTAGTTATATTATCATGATTTTATAATTCAAAACTTCGTTCAGCTTATTGAAGCATGTGATCACCTCATTTAAAATATAAATTATCACTTAGAGATCGAGTCACATTCGTATTTACTTAATTATGTAACACGCCCCTCTTATATATACGATCTTACATGTCCTTTTTATCATACATAACTGTAATAATTAATAACTTAAAATATATGGTAACTAACCTGCTATAGCATGTAATTCTTATTATTTATGTAACAAAAAAAAATCATTACTTGGATTAAAGTAGAAGGGACAAAAGGTGGGGTTAAAAACCTTTTAATTGTCTTTGTAGTTAGAGTGATTTTACAATGTTGTCACATGAGTTTTTGCACTAACCCAAAATTCTAGTAATTAAAGTTTACTCTCCCCACTAATGAAGATCATAATCCCCTTTTTGATATCTATTCTGATACATATTTCAACAGACAAAAAAAGGTGAGTAATATTTTCAATGATGGCCACTTTATTTGTGTCTTTTGGGTACTATAACACAATGGATTATTAAATAACACAAAAAATTATTATAAACAAGCATAAGAGAAGTTTCATAAAAGATTGATAAAAACAACAACATAAGAGATCAATAAATAAAATAATAAACATCTCTATAAGATTATTTTATTCTATTCAAATTTGTAGCTAGATATAAAAGATCATATCATAAAAAAATCAATGAAATATAAGATAGTAACATATTTGATAAAAATAATAATAATTAGGAGAATAATATAATACTTATTGAGAAAATGTGGTCATCTTAATGAAAGAAGCCCATTCAAGTTCAGACTACTCCAATTGTTTGGCAAAGTTGAGCCCAGGAAAATGTTTGTTAAAGTTGGGTTTAGGAGACCAAAATTCATGATAATTATAATAATTAAACCTTAAAACTAACCAATTAGAATTAATAGTATTCCCCTAAAAATGGTTAAACTTAAGTATAAAGATGTAGAAGTTTAACTTGTACACAATAGTAATTTGAATATAAAGAACATTCATTTCATTTTTTATTTTTTTTCTGTTGATCACGATGACTGAAACGATGCAAAAAATCCAAATCCATAAAGGAGAAGGGTTGGTGGGGAACATTTTATTGTATTAATATATAACATAACAGGTTATATAGATGCTAGTTACCACTATTGCTTTAGTGAAGTGATAATAGCGCTACACGTAATGTGTAGATTAGACATACATCAAAATTTTAATCTCAATCATAAATAAAAGCATGATATTTGAGTGTAGCAAATAAAACATGTGGTATAACAAGCTGAAGCTTTGGTTAAATTAAATGAAAGATAAAAAATACTATATACTTGTACCGTGTAAATTCAAATTTAGTCAGAGCTTAATATAAATATCGAATATTGAATTTTTAGAAAATATATAGGTGGGGCATAGAAAAATAATGGTTCCATAGGCTAGAAACAATGAACCTCAGATGATATTAATAATTGATACTAATCCCCAAAATATAGTACTATCACCCATTGATTTCCTGTCACTCTCTTTGCTTTGTGCATCAAAGGAAGCAAAAACTTTGATCGATTGGTAAGAGCATAATTTATGATTTTTAAATTTAAATTATTGCTATGTTATGTATGCGGGCGGATCGAGTTATATAGAGATATTGGATTGGTATTAAAGTTGGAGAAAAATAACGAAATAAACTTATTATTTTTGAATAATTTTTTTTTTACTTATCTATCTTGTACCAAACACAAAGATGTAAATAAAAAAAACTAAATCCCCTTATTTTTCTAAAAAAATAAATTTAATAAAATATTTTCTTCGTACCAAACACATCATAAACTATGGAAACTTTCGCAAATAACCACTATAATAGATTTAATTATGCTTCATACTTATAGAGTGCATATTTATGGGTTGTAGCTACAGTTTAAATTGTCTCTTTTGTATAGTTCGCAGGTTTGTATAATTCACGGGTACATTTGTATAATTAAGTTATTTTTGAATAAACTCGAAATAACGAATTTATACAATTACAAACATCAGAAGTGTAACAGTTATACAAATTATATCATACAAATTTTGAATTATACAAAAGTTATTCAAATTATATTATATAAATTCTGAATTATACAAACGTGCGAATTATACAAAACAAAAAAGCTGAACCGCGTAATTATAGCTAAAAGCAGATCGTAAATTATAATTAAGATAAACTATAGCTATATTAACTAATTAACTAGTATATATTTGCTTTTACACGTACTTTTCCCTACAATTTTCAGCTTAAATAAAAATAAGATAAGATCATCATCTATTATTCAAATCAATAGGGGGTATCAACCTAGAAAATAAGAGTATTATAGATGGACCACATGTCAAATGTTTTTATTTTCTTTATTCTTTCCGAAAATAAAATTCTTGCCTTCTTGAATTTTGAATAAAAGAAAACGTTATTTTCATATGTCTAATGTATTAGTAAAATTTATATAAAATCAAAAAATTCTCGTAAACAAGTTATAAAACCAAAAAAATCGTAACACACACATAATATATATATACTACATAGGCATTACACTAATTGATGACATGAGTTGTGGTGAGATATATGGTTGTTGAGATTTTTTTTCATCCTTATAATAAGAGGTTTTAGATTCACGCTCTCAGAAATGAAAAAATTACTATTTGAAGTACCGCCTTAAAATAATGAACCTTAAGGTATGCAATTCACACTTAATTAAGCTCTAATACTTATATTAAATACCGAATGAAAAAAAGGACACTAGCTAGTTGCTCAAAAGAGGGTCTTCTAGCCTATGACAAAAACAAATTTCATTATTATGAACATTATATTTTGTTTCCTTTATTTGTAGTTGACTTGCTATTGTTATTTGTTTACATGTGTTTGGTTGGATTATAAATAATGTACACTATCTTTTTCACCTTTTTTCTTCTTCAACTAGATGGTCATTGATTGGTTAAATATTGTCCTTTTCTGTAGTCAACCAATGTTATGGCTCAAAATTGTTAATGAACCATTAATTGAACCTCACCAAGGTCTTAGTCAACATTAAATCTTGAAAATGACTACCTATAATCTAGATTTTTGCAACTTGCTAGTCATTTTCTTCGACAATTTTTTAGTTTTGACAATGGAAAATGATATAATTAAAGGGCTTGAATGAAGAAAATATTTTCATCCATATCGAACACATCCTCACGATAGTATAGTAACTTAAAAGTACAGTAAGTAATAAGTCATAAGTTATTAAGTTATGTTAGTAGGGTAAAAATTAATTGTATTGTCTGTTTCATATTATTTGACCTTTGTTGACTTGACTTGGCCGACACAATATCTCTTAAGAAAGCTCTAACTAAATATTAATAATGTTTCGAAACCCTAAGTTTGGCTATTACTTTTTTATATAGTTATTTAGTACTAAGGATAAAAAATAAGAAATAACTATTTTTAATATGAGGATCAAGTAATATAAAATGAAAAAAATTAACTAAGTTGGAGTTCTTTTTTGTACATTTTTATTTCACTTAACTTAATAGACAAGAAATGAGTAATTAAAAGACTTTTATTAATAATTCCCTTTTGGCTTTTTGACATCTTTTTTGGTACAAATTTCCACACCCGAAAGTGTGAATTTTCCATGATTCCACTTTTATGCGTGTCTAGTGGAAATTCAAATGCATGAATAAGTTTAAATTTTATATATAATTGTCAGCATAAATAATTATTATAATATTAAATTATTCAAAATAATAATTAAATGCAAGTCTTTTCAAAATATACAATTTAAAATCTTGATGTGATATAATTTACGTGTTATTGATTTGAGCAAGCTTTTACAAAAATACAGTCCCCTATGGCCCCATGTTTAAGAAAAAATAATTCATCTTAATAATTATTCGTTAAAATTCAATGTGAGTCCGATTCTTGAAATATATAATTTTGAATTCTCACATCTCAATAATTAGTTTTTGGAATTGAGTGAAAGAGTTCAAGACTATATAAACTTCATATTAGCACATTTCAATATTGACGTGAACTCAAGTTTCATACATTGTAATGGATTATAACCGTTTTCAACGACTTCACACTGAATATGTATAAAGTGTATAGATTGTGTATACTTGATATATACAATATACATAATATACATACCTATACATGTTTGCTTTTTAACAAGGAAATACAAACTAGTTCATACAAATAGTATTAGCACTATTTTTCGTAATTTCTTATCCTACGATTTATGTTACTTCATGTACTTTGTTTATTGCACTATTTGACTATTGTTATTGTTCCTTGTTTGTTTGATGATATGTAATGTTTTTCCTATTATTTCCTATGTCCTGTTTACTTTTGTATTTTTCGTTTTTAAACTGCTTTGATTAGTGTTACTCGAGCTGAGGATCTTTCAAAAACATGTCTTTCTACCTCCACGAGATAAGAATAAAGCTGTCTGTGTACATACAATACTCTATCCTTTCCAGACTCCACCTATGGAATTACAAGTATGTTGTTGTTCAAAACAAACCACATTACTTTCAAATGGAATCAACTGTATTTTATTGACAGTAAATATTCAAAACTTGTATCATTTCAATAGCAACAATTGACAATATATGTACTAATAAACAGTATGGGAGAACCTCAGGGGAAAAAAATTGGCTTTCATCCTATAACTGGCTAACTTTTAAGGTAATTCAACAGGTTCAATTCTCCATATATCTCTTGCATATTGATGAATTGTTCGATCACTGCTAAATTTGAACGATCCAGCTGTGTTTAAGATCGACATTTTGGTCCATTTCTGCATTCATTTCAACGATAAGATGTTTTAGAAACGCTACACGAAAAGGATACTAAGTACTAATATGAGTAATAAGTTTGCTTGGCCTAATGTTGTGCGCGAGTAATATGAAACAGAGAAAGATATGGTTAGACAGATCATGCAATGAGAAGTATACCTTCTGGTCTCGATATGCTTCATCAACTTTATCTTGGCACTCTATATAATCGGGGAAATCCTTTCCTACAAGAAAATAGTCAGCACGACCATAGCCTTCGTTTCCTTCCAAGGATCCCATGAGTTCTTCATAGTTGTAGGTGCCAAAGACGCCTGTCCTAATGAACACCTTTACTTCTTCAAATCTTGGGTCCGGGACAAACTACATGAAGAACAGATAAGGTAATATGCATTTCGTCCATAAGGATGATACAGCTACAATTTGTTTGTCTTACTTCCCTTTATAGTTCGTTCCAAAATGAAGCCTCTTTCCTTTTTTGCACTTTCATTCTATATATCTTTAATATAACTATATAAGATGACAAAATTCAAGAGTTTTCTTTTACTGTCTTAAACTTTGTGTCAAGTCAAAACCAGACATATAGATTGAAATGGAGGGAGTAGTTTTGTTATGAGCTTGTGCTTGTGCAATGTAAATTGTATGATAAAAGAATGAAAATTTATGCTTTTGTGGTTAATCTTACCCTTCCCTCGGCTCTTTCCTTTCGTAGGCCAGCAATTTCATGAGCCTGAGCTCCGAAAAGGAAGAAATTGTCCTCTCCAACTTCCTCTCTTATTTCAACATTGGCACCATCTAACGTCCCGATGAGGAGGCAGCCATTCATTGAAAATTTCATGTTGCTGGTTCCACTAGCCTCCATACCAGCAGTACTATTGAAACAATATCGAGATATCAGACAGGTATACGACATATTTGCTCAATAGAAATTTGTGACGTTATGCAAAGACTAACGAAATGAAGTACCTTATATGCTGGGACAACTCACTACCAGGAATTAGCACTTCTGCTACACTGACATTGTAATCAGGAACAAATACAACCTGAAATGCAAACCGATAAATTTTCAAATCTATTGCACCATCTTGGACTTATAACAGGTATAACCAGAGGTTAGTAACATCTTCGAAAATCTTTAAGCATATATTGTTTTTGACTCGTCCTAACCATACCTTCAAAAGATCACCAATCTCGGGATCATGGTTGACTGTTGCCCCTACATCAGTGATAAATTTTACAATTCTCTTGGCCTGAACATATGTAGCAAATGCTTTTCCCCCAAATATGCAAACTCGAGGGACAAACTTTTCTTTTCGTTCTTCAGGGCTCATTTCTTTCATCTTCTTATAGCGATAAACGATTCCAAATATATTTAATAGCTGCCTTTTATACTCATGGATGCGCTTGATCTGAACATCAAACATTGCATCGGGACTGACCACGTATCCTGTTTTTTCTTTAATGAGAGAGACAATCTTCATTTTGTTATTTCCTTTTGCCTTCCTCCACTCAGACTGGAGTTCTTCGTTATCAGCAAACTGTTCAACAGTTAAATGCATGAAGTTAGTACATACATTTCACATGTTCTTATGATGTTTATAAAGATCTCTTTCCACATAGAAGGACTAAAGGAAATAATCCGTTTATGAAAGCTGTTGACGACGGTTTAGGAATCAATAAGATCACAAGTCAGATACAACTCGTTTACCTTTCGAAGCTCTGCCAATTTTTCAGTGTTTACTAACCAATCATCAGATCCTGTCCACTTTGTTATAATTTCACTCAACTCTGGATTACAGAAACTTAGCCATCTTCTTGGTGTCACACCATTTGTCTTGTTTTGGAATTTCTCTGGCCATAACTGTCGATGAACAAAGAGTTTGGATCAATCAAAACAACAACATTGAAAGAGGAGAACTGAAAATGATATCTGCCACTTCTAGCCGTGTGATAATCATCGTACCTTGTAAAATTCATTGAAAACTTCATCTTTAACTATTTCACTATGAATCTCAGCAACACCGTTAACTGCATGCCCGCTAACTACACATAGATTTGCCATGTGAACCACCTGTGATTTATTTGGATGTGGCCCAAATATACGTTTTATTTTTGCTTGACTATCCTCCACCTCAACCTTCTTAACCTCAGTTTCCTCCTCTTCGTTCGTAGTTTCTGCCTTTACAGCCTCAGTTTCCTCATCTTTACTGTCATCCTTACCTTCTTCTTCTTGTTCTTCATCTGCTGCTTTTTCGACATCAGCAGCATTTTCTTCGGCTTTTATAAGCAACTCCAAAACAGAAGTTGGTATTTCAACATTATCCAGAATCCTCATTTGGTTTAGCTTTTCTTGCAACAAGTCAAGATCTTCAGTACCATATTCAGCAAGTATAGTATGCAAGAGCTACAAAAGCATCCACATGAAGTAGTTCTCAGAAAGAATGAAGCAAAAGTAATATGTCGAGCTGCAACAAATTCAACCTCAAGAGGTTCAAAATGTAAAATCTCAACTTAATCCTAGAACTGAAATGGAGTTTCAATTTTCACCTCCTCATCTATCATTGCTATGATCTCCACGTGCCGAGGAAGCAGTTCACCAAGAAGTGTGAAGCTCCATTTCTCAAGAGCCTCAGGTAGAACAGTGTGGTTAGTGTATGCGACCGTTCTGCCAAGACATAATAGTGTCACAGAAGTATAGCTACTGAATTTACATGAATAAACAAGGGGAAGGATCATCTACGCTCGTATCTTAAAGCTACTAGCTAGTAAAATTAGACATTTATCAGATGCAATAACGGAAGAAAGAACCTTTGAGTAATTTCCCATGCCTGCTTCCAGCTCAAACCTTTAACATCCATCAATATCCTTAAAAGTTCTGGTATACAAAGTGTTGGATGAGTGTCATTCATCTGTACTGCAACCTTTTCGGGGAACTGATCCCAGTTCACTGCATTCCCTGATCTCTTCTCGAACCGTGCAATAATGTCCTGAAGAGAAGCAGAACATAGTGTGTATTGCTGCTTTAACCTAAGCGTCTTTCCTTCAAGCGACTCGTCACCTGGATATAAGACATAGCAAATCTGATCCAAAATACAACAAGACACAATTTTAGGGAATCCTCTTCTTGTGGTGAATAACCGGAATCTTGCAGTAAATCCACAGCATTGCTTTGGAATAGTACTCGCTCCGTTTCAATTTGTTTGTCTGGTTTTGCCTTGGCACAGAGTTTAAGAAAAGTAAAGAAGACTTTTGAATCTTGTGGTTTTAAACATGTCATGTGGAAAGTTAGAATTAACGAGTTTCCAAAAAAAAAGGAAAGAGGCATTCTCTTTTAAACAAACTAAAAAGGAATGTACGACAAACAAATTGAAACGGAGGGAGTATGTTATAGTTTCTCAATTAAGCTAAAGAATTAAGTACACCTTTTCAGCCTTTTTCTGGGCCTCATATGCTTTGGCATGGTCTCCATTGTTAAAAGCATGTAAATCAAAAGCTTCTGCAGCTAGCTTTGTTGTCCACAATCGAAGGTTAATCGTTGTTTTTGTTTTATATCCTGGTATTGGGACATCATAGGCAACAGCAGTTATATCTTCTCCGCCAGCCCATTCCTTCCTCCCATCAGCTCCTTCAATGACCTTCCCATAGAATTTTACGGGATACGAAATATCATTCCTGACAATTTCCCATGGATTTCCCATCTGAGAAAATAATAGTCCTATTACTTTGGAGCATAGCAAATGACATGAAAAATCTACTGCAATATTCGAAAACGTGCAGTCAGTAGTATCAAGGTCCTCCAACAATCTTAACAACATATCGTACCTCGAGCCAATTTTCAGCAACTTCCTCCTGGCCATCTTTTGTAATAAGCTGTTTGAAAAGGCCATATTGGTATCTAAGTCCATAGCCCCATGCAGGGTAGTTTAGCGTCGCCATTGAGTCCAGAAAGCAAGAAGCAAGTCTTCCTAAACCTCCATTACCTAAAGCTGCATCCGGTTCCTGTCAGTCATTACAGTAAACAGCTTAAGCTAATTACAGTAGACTACTATCCCGAGTGAAATCAATTGACATATATCACAATGTTAGAACAGTGGTGATGAGAGTGGGATAGTTTGACTACGTTGACGTGTTATTAAATCATTTTGGAAAAGCATATCAATCAAGAACTTGTGCAATCTAGAAACGGGAGCTAGTCGCCTTCAACATTTCTCATTTTGGAGCAGAGTTAAGTGTTAGTAATAGTCAAACAAGGCAAGCAAAGACTCAATTGAACAAAAACTACTTCGAGTGGCTAACTGTCAACAGAAATTAGTAAGTTCCTACAGAAACCCGACCTGCCTGGCTACATCCTCTAAACTGTACCCGAGCTTAGTTAAAGCATCTGCATAAGGTCCGGTTAGCCCCAAGTTACCAATAGCATTGAGTAAAGCTCTTCCCTGCAAGCATCAAAAGCATATTAAAGCAACTCACTCCAACGAGTGACGTCTGTAGTTATACTCGAAATAAAGGGGAAGCCTAGCTAATCTAACCTGAAGAAATTCCATAGACAAGTAATATGCCTGCTTTACATTCATCTTTTCATAGAATTCGTATGTGGCATTCCAATTTATAATGAGCGTATCTCGAACACTCTCTGCAGTTGCATAGTATGCCTTGGGAAGTTCAAACTTCTCAGGAGAAAATGATGGCATGAACTCAGCGTGATACTTTATACTTGATAAAACAGACGTGGAGTCCGGCTGAAAAACATCTAATGTAAATCCTGAAAATACAAAGGGTCCAAATAATGTATGTTGCTTCTCTACTTCGGCAATGTTAATAGTCGTTAAGGAATGAGAACTCCATTATATACAAAATTTTCAAATTCCACCTATCTAAACAAACACAACCTACTCTCTCCACCAATGCACGACTCTTACACCTTGGCACGTCCAAGGCTGAACATCTAGAGCGTAGACAATATAACATAAGGTCTCAATACTAGTTAAACTAAAAATAGAAATGTGCCTTGAGCTGAGGATCTATCAGAAACGATCTATCTACCTTCACAGGATAGAAGTAAGGTCTACGTAAACAACATCCCTCCTCAGACTCCACTAGTGGGATTACACTGGGTATGTTGTCGTTATCTTTCTGATACCATGCTAAACAAATTAGTAGACCTAGGACCTAAGTCAATCTCAAAACCTAGTTAACGAGGTGAGCATTGCTAATACCGTATAGGAATCAATTGAGTTCCTTAACCAATGTGAGATTCTAACACACACGAACCCAAATGTACAAAACTTTTACACTCTCTGCATTCAATTTGTTTATCTTACTTTCATTTCTAGTCTATTTCAAAAATAATGCCTCGCCCCTTTTATGACAACTCTTTAATTTTTTAACTTTTCACCTAATACGTTAACACCACAAGATTAAAGAACATTTTAGTACATTCAACATATCTTCGATTCCATACCACAACAGGTCTTTACTTTCTTAAACTCCGTATCAAGTCAAAACCAGACAAATAAATTAAACGGAAAATTATTTCAAGTACCTTCATCAGAGGAAGAATCCTTTGTCTTCTGCTTTTGATCACTAGCAACACTGCTAACAGAGAAACTTCTTCTTCTTCTTCTTCTAAAACTGAACAATAAAATCCTCCTTCTACTCAACAAAATGTTTGAGTTTTTGCTTCTGAAATTGTTATTAAAACTAGAAATACTTGAAATTGAGTTCAATCCAGAGACAGCAAAAGTTGCCATGATGTCTCTGAACTGAATTTCAAAATGCTAAATTTTTAGATACAAAATTTAATCAAAATAATTGTTGTGCATGTTGAAAAATGAGTGGAGCAACATGTGATTTGTTGTTTTTTTTAAAAACAAAACATGTACTATTGTACAAAAAACTTTTGATTTTGATATTTTTGGGATTGTGTGGCCAGTAGCATTCAGGTTAATTGGACATGTAGATATTTTTTTCTTCCACTTTTTTGGAGTTAGAATTTTTTTTTCCTGTAATTTCCGCAATCTTAGTAGCTCAGTTGCATGACGGTCTGAGTTCAACAGTTGTAATGGATTCGATCGAACTCAGTAAATTTTGTTCAAATTTTATATTTATTTTTGAAATTTCATCAAATATGTAAAAACTATAATTTAGGATTTTATAACATAAAAGAACTAGAATTTCAAATTCGTAAACTTTAAATCCTGACTCCCCTCTACACCCCTTCCATTCTTAAGAGTTCGAGCTCGAGAGAATATAGTCATTTTTTGTAGAGGATACTGTTTTACCCAATTTGAGATTTTATTCAGATTAGTCGGACCCTAAAATGGATACCAAACAACGAATGTGAATAATAATAAAAAATAGTTGAAAAGGTGAGGTAGGAGGATAATATAACTTAGGGGTCGTTTGATACGAGGGATAGGATAGTAACATGAGGTTATTTTATACAAACCTTCAATATAGGATAGTAACACCATTTTAATACAAACCATAGGATAAAGTAACTCCGAAATTAGCTAATACCTCAATTCAGACATGAAATAAAATTAATCCTTCAACTTATTATCATTATCTCACGTACCAAACGAATGCTAAATGCTTGAAAAACAGGTAAAATTGCCAATAGCTGCTTTTAAGGGGAACCTTCCATTTTTTTTCTCCTTAATATATTTGATCCATTGATAAAATAAATTCTTTGTGTCCATTGTTTCTTTCATTATAATTCACTACTTCTGAGAGGAAGAAATTTCTGTAAAATTCAGTATTTCTTCCTCTCCTCTTAATTAATTAATTCCCTCTTCATAAATAGATCCCATTCTTCAATCATTCAAAGGTAATTAATTATTTCATTCCAATTTTTTAAAATTGTTTTCTTCAATCTTGGGTACATATCTTTATTTTCTCCTTTGTTTTTTTGCTTTTGTTAGAGTACTTTTGACGTGGAACATAAATTTGAATCTGTAAAAGTTCATGAAAATTGCAACGAGTCATAACTTTGAAAATATAATGGGTGAAATGTTAAGCTAGCGTTTAACCATAGATTTTTAAATCAGATTTTTAAAAATTGTATTTAAATATTTATTTGGCCATGAAATTTTATCAGATTTTAAAACTTCAATCTTCAAATATTTTTCTCTTGATCTTGGTCATTTTTAAAAATGAATTTTGTAAATGGTTAGTTATAGTGCTTCACCTTCTTCTAAAATTCATTCAGCTTTTTCAATTATTCAATTAGCCTAAAAGGGGTTGATGTCAGTCAACTAATAGTTATTATCTCAGAAAGTCAGGTTTCTTTTTTATTCCAATTTTTTTCAGCAAAGAAAATGACGTTCTGAGATAATAACTGTTAGTCGACTAACCATGCTATTGTATATATAGATTGAAATCTAGTAATTTACAAGCAAATTTGAGTGTTTTGGTTTATAATCTTGAAATTGTTTGCATATCAGGTGAAGTGAAAAAAAAATCCCTTTAGTTTTGGAAAAATGTTTGGATTCAGGAAAAAAGCAGACTCCGCTACTCCTGATGAAAAAAATGGAACAAAAACTGGTCGGAGAACTTCCTCCGAGCCAGTTCTTGTCACACCAGATGACGATGATTTTGGAACATCATCGTCATCTGGTGTGACAAGGAACAAACATAAAAGTAAGACAGAGGATTTTGATAACATGTCTATGCAAGAATTGGAGGGGTATGCTGTAGACCAAGCTAAGGAGACAACGAGCTCGGTGAATAACTGTTTGAAGATAGCTGAGGATATTAGACAGGAAGGTGCTCAGACACTCGATACCTTGCATAAGCAAGGGGAGCAAATTCATCGTACTCATATGATGGCTGTTGATATGGATCGCGATTTGAGTAAGGTATTGATCATTTCAATTACTATTGCAATGAGAGTTCGATTACCATCTGGTGCACGGATAGTGTATACTTATTTTATAGACATAACACTCCAATGTAACTTTGAGTAAACATATCCAGACACCTCAACTCGTCTCCACTGTGTCAGTTTAACACTGCAACTTACAAATATGTTATAACATATAGAAAGTAGCTTAATTTGCTTTGCTCGTTCGATATGTTTATTATTTGGTATAATTGGAACGGAACAAATGGTACAAAAGTTGACAATAATGAGCATGTTTTCTGCATTTTAGGGTGAGAAGTTATTGAACAATCTTGGTGGCATGTTCGCGATGCCTTGGAAGGCAAAAAAGACTCACGATATTAAAGGGCCTCGAACTTCAAAAGGTTTCGTGTTATCCTTCATATCATGTTTTATCCTTCTTTTTGAATTGTAAGTAGCTGCATTATCGATCGTGACTATGTAATCAACTTTACTGACTTTCATCTTCTCTGGTTTTCGTAGATGATAGTCATAAAGGGAAAGGTAGTGCAAGTGAAAGGGAAAAATTAGGTTTATCTAATGGTAAGAAGGGGAAATCAGCCTCTAGTACACCTCCTCCTGAATCGATGAACGCTATGCAGCAAATTGAGGTACATTTCGTATACACAAAATTCAATGTAGCTATCTATTTGTGGCCTTAACTTATGTTATATGCCTTCTTCCTATGGTAAAAAACTATGTTTATGTTTAACTAGTCTGAGAAGTCGAAGCAAGATGATGCACTTTCGGATTTGAGCAACATATTGGGTGATCTAAAAGGCATGGCTGTTGACATGGGATCTGAACTTGACAAGTAAATTTCTTCGAACTTAACTAACATTACATGATGTTCTTCTTCTTTGTTACTCTGTTGTTACGTTTCATTTTGAACACTTTCGACAAAATGTGACTTAGTTTTCGAAGTTAATATGTGTTTTCATGAAGTGATTGTCAACTTTCATCTGTCGACTGTGATACTTAACTAAGTTATAGCATTTGATGAACAACTTTAGCCTCGATAAGTTATTTTCTTGTTGTTGTTTCTACTTTGCCGCCACCTCTTTTTCATCATTAGCTCAGTCAAGGGTCTATTAGAAACAACCTCTCTACTTTCTCAAGGTAGGGGTAAGGTCACGTGCACTCAACACCCCCTAGACTCCACCTGTGGGATTACACTGGTTTTGTTGTTGATGATGAATATGTAGCTCAAAACCGCGGTGATCAATGATCATACATGTTAATGTATATATATACACTGACAATGTAAAGAAGTTTTACGCTATTAGTGTAATTTAACATCGATAGAACTACTTGTATATGACATCATTTGCTTTTTAAAATCTTTTTTGGTTAATAACACATGTTGTTGAAATGTGACAAATGCAGGCAAAACAAAGCTATTGATGATCTTGACAAAGATGTAGATGAATTAAACTCTCGAGTGAAAGGCGCAAATCGGCGTGCACGTCAAATAGTTGGGAAGTGAAAGAAGAGGACTCTTGCTTTTCCTATGTTGTTCTGAATCTTCAAAATTGTTGTTGTATACGTGTCAGATCCCCAAAATGCAATACTTTTGGAGGATTCATGACATTTTTGAAGAGTCTGAGCATCATAACTTGCTTCGACGTCAGATTTACTGAAAGTTTTTTGGCTTCAAGGTCTATTGGAAGTTTTGGTTGCTTCTTTTTTACTTTTTTTTTAATTCAATTTTATGTTATTAAGATTACCTTTTTTAATTCCAAATTTTACTGAATTGTTTATTGTTCATTTGTAATTATAAAATAATCAAATAGGCCTTTTCATGATTAGTTTACGGAGGATCATCGGTCGATTCGATTCGATTCGTTTTTATATGTTATTGATTTAGTTTATCTGCCATAGTTCTATAAATATGCTAAATTGATGATCGAACCAATAAAATACTCTATACTGATAAATTTAAGGAATCATCAATATATTTTGTCCTATGATTTGATTCTACTCCCATTTTTAATATAGGATTTCTTAAAGGCTTTGACAACAACAACTATCATAATAAATACCATTTCTAATTTGAAAATCCCTAGTGTGAATACTCACCACATATTAGTCATTTTAAGAGAAAAAAAATTGAAAAAAATATCAAATCAGACTCTATTACAAAAGATTATAAATAATCTTCATTTTCTATCATTAGGCTTTGACAACTCTCATATTAACCGCACGTCTTTAAATACATGTCATTTTTAAGTTAAGTCGCTATAGTCTATTAATAAGAGGGTATTTTTCATCATCTTATAATAAAAGTTATTAAATGAGTTTACATCTCAAAAAGTTATTAAATGAGTTTACATCTCAAAATACATAGTGTACCAAAAAATTAAACTCAACTCGAAAATTATATCACTCATTTTATCGTTAGTGAATTTTTTGTTGAATGTCTTTTTCTTTAATAACTATTTAATATTTTATTTTATTATAACTTACCCCTTTTATATTATGATCGGGATATGTTTTTTGAATTGAGAAAATATTAAATTGCGATCTAAAATTGCGTAAGTTATCATAAAAGCATACGATAGCCTAATATTTTTATTTATAAAATTAAATATTTCTTTTATCTTAATTTATGTAAAAATATTCAGAGTACGATAGTCCAAACACTTAATTATGACCATAAAAATTTCAAATTGATTCTTCAACTATTTTAGAATAAAATTATATATTTAAAAACTACACAAAAATTACTACAAGTCAATATAGTTAATAATTCTAAATAATCTTAAGAAGTTTTAGAAAATCACATTCGACTCCCAATATAGCAACACATTCACATATATTGGAATTTGATAGGAAGAGAGTACTCTCTTTATTCACTTTTACTTAATCGGATTAAAAAAAATGACATTCCATTTTATACCTATTTTACTTTATTCAATTCATTTTTTCAACAATAAACTACTTATAATA